AAATACCCTTTAAAATTCATATTTGTGTTCATGGATTTAAGGCACATAAGGTTTAGATGTAAAGACAGGGTCATCCCAAGTTTTCCACTCCGGTTTCAACCCTGGGATCCTCCTGCCTCAGCCTCCTGAGTAGTGTGGATTACAGGTGTGTACCACTGTGCCCAGCCATTTGGGGAATCTTCAAGGACAAGTTTCCCTCTCAGTCTCTCACATCAGCCCTAGAAATAAAGTCATTTATCAAATTTCTGGTCTTGGTCTTCTTTCCTAACTCTCTGTGGCCCTTTTAGAAACATGCTCAGGACAACAACCACATCTTTATAATAATCTCTTGATTTAGATTTCTAACCCTATATATCTCTGAGCATCAGACTCTAATTTCCAAATGAACATTAGTTATTCTCACATGGACATCTCACTGAGCCTATCATGTTTCATATATTGAAACGGAACACATCAAAACTGAGAAGATCCTTTCTCAGTTACAGTGTTACCATTGTAATCAACAAGATTAGAAACACAGAGACAAATCTTCCTTTCAATGAAATGACATACATAATCTGAAAACATGTCCTATTAACTCTACCAATAAGGCAAATATGGTGTCACCTTTAGTCCAATGAAGTTAGAAGACATACTTTCCCTATGCGTTCTCTTCCCTTTCTGAGGCACCTGTGGAAGCAACACTTGATGATTGTCAGCTGGTGGAGGGAATCTGAGTCACTGGCTCATGACACCAAGGTAAGCTGCCAGGTGAGCCATGCAGTCAGGAGCCTATGCAGTGGGTGTTACATGTGAGAGAAATACACTTTTATTGTGTTAAATTACAGATACTCACTTTTTGTTTTTAAAAACATTTATAATAGGTGCTAGTATTATTTACCCCAAACATCATGTAAATACAATGGAAACAGTATCCCAAATAGTAAATACCCAATAAATGACAGAGATCACTCTTTCTACTGCTAATATATTAGACTGAGTCCAAATCACCTTTCACTGAGAATATAAGGACCACATAAAACATCAGCTATTGCCTGGGAAGTTAATTTACTTAGGATATATTTTTCTATACAAGTTTTTGCTCTGCTCCATTATGTCACTGGTGAATTCCAGGGTAATTGTGAAATGGCAGAAAAAGAATATTATTTTGTGTCTTCAATGCAAAAAAAAAAACATTAGTTATTTCCTTTTCTTCTTCACTTCTTGAAATGAACAGGATAAATGACACCAGGTCTTCTCCTACACACTGCAACTTTTCTCCCACCACCAAGTGCATCTATGATCCCCGAATGTAGATGTTGAGTTGACTTAGGTTCAAATCCTGGCTCTCTCACACTGTCTTCATCTTCCTGAGTCTCTCCAGAAATAGGGTATGCTTTTATAGTCAAATCTTTGGTAAAACAATGTGTATTTTCTTTGTTTTCATCAGGCCCTAAGTGTGTATGTGTGTGTGTGTGTTGCTGTTGTTGTTGTTGCTGAGGATTTAACTCTGGGCTTCCTTGTATGCCAACTATGTGCTTCATCACTGGACTAGAAAGAATAGGGTCTTTCTGAACATGTCGACATTATTTATGGAATATATTTTAGGTACTATAAAACTGCGCTATAAACTGTGTTTTAAACCCTGACTTTATGTCTGTAAGTCTCACTCCCACTTATCCATCTGTTTTCTTTCTCCTGTTCATTTTGATATCATATTTTATCCACCATTTCCAACATCCACTAAATACTAACCTTTTCATCAGAAACTTCTTTGGAGAAACAACAGTATTATTAAGAACCAAAATAAATGAGGTTTCCTGAGAATCTTGCATCTCAGTAAGTGCTTCATTTACATGATGTCATTTGACCCTTATGCTACCACTATGAGCTGGGCATTATCGTCATCCCATTTTACAAAGTGAGTAAAAAGAGGAATGATCATACTTGTTCAGGGTCACACAGCTACACAGGGCAGAACAGGAATGAATTATTTTCTGTGAAGGTGCCACTCAGGCTCTGGCTTCAAGTTTGAAGGTAGCACTGGATTTCACAGCCTGAGATCTTAACTACCAGACCATGCTCTTAGCACTATGATTTCTCTCCCTATGTATTTGAGTATACCTCCATGAAAGCATTTACTGTACAATTACATGCACTCCTTTGTGCTTTGTGAATCCTTTGAAGACAGCAATGACAGTGTATAAATATTCATTTAAATTGACAGAGAGGGACTGGGGCTGGGGATCAGTGGTAGGGTGCTTTCCTAGCATGTGTGAGGCACTGGGTTCGATCCTTAGCACAACATAAAAATAAACAAATAAAATAAAGGCATCCTGTCTATCTACAACTACAAAAAAAATTTTTTTTAACTGACAGAGATGTAGTATCTGTAAAACTAGTGACATTCTCCTTTCCAATTTATTGATGTTTCCATTTCAGTATGTTTTCATCATTAAGGGAATACAATTCTGGACTCTCTGGATGAGGAAGAAGCATTCTTGCACTTCTTTGTTGGGTTCACTCTCAGTGATAAAATCTATTGTACAAATCACTTTTGTCCTGGCTACTATACAAGTAGTCATTCTTCCAAGCTTTATGTTAGAAGTAGAGATCATATCTTCTTTTTCTTTTGAAACACTTATAGAGGCTAATGGAGTACTCTTTCAATAAGACATGCCGTTATGCAAGCGCAAGATAGAATATGGTGGTCATTTTAATGGAGGTTTCATGAAATACTCCACTATGAATAGGAAGAGATGTAACATGATGCACATATGTTCTAGTGGTCAACAGTGCAAGCATTTATCTCTTGGGACTATGAGGAAATTAATTTCAATTTGTTTTACTTTATAAGTTTTTATATTAATTGTTTACATTTATATAGGCCTTCTCATTCTTTTTCTCCTGTGACTTAGGGTTATTACAATGTAACATATGTTGTTATTATATATTTGCATAAGGAAACATACATGTTAAACATACATTTAAAACATACATAATGGAAAGTATTATATAAAGTCATATAGCTTGTAAGCCATAATGATATAGGCTTAATAAACAAATGAAGAAACTGAGGCTTAGACAAGCTATTACTCCACAAAAGTTACACAGATAATTCAAGACAAAATTAGGATTCCACTTAGGTCTGATTTTAAGTCTGGTGAGTCTTCTCATTCATCCTGACTCCTTATAGCTAAGACCTGAGACCTGTGTATTCCTAAGCATGTTGAGGTTGTCTTCATAACCTGTAGCAAGTTGTATCCTTTACAGAAATACAATTCACTCCTGTTATCAGCATGGTTTTTAAGAGTTTGCAAGACTCAGGTGTATGTCCGAATCACCTTCATACATTGTACAATTTCTCACTGTCAATGAGTATACTATATAGATCTTAATCTCAGAACTCTCTGTATACCATTTCCACCTCTCAGCTTCATGAGAAATTCATGTGATTTCAGAGATCTAATGACAAACACAACCTACCTTTTTCTATAATATTGGTGCCTAAAATCCTGCATTTAGGCTTCTTTTTTCTTTGTAGCCTGAAAATAGCAAATACCTTCTGACATTATAGAGTGGATGAATTTTTCAGAAGCTTTCCTGAAAGCAGGTTTATAGAGAGCATACAGAAAATGGGCAACAAAGCAGGAAAATGGGAAGGTTTTAATAGGGAGTCCAAAAGAGCAAATGGGGAGCTTTTTTAGTTTTGAACGCTGTACTGCAATAAGTAGCACCTCCTCCAAAATATATGTTCATGTCCTAACCCCAGGTATCTATGAACATGGTCTTATTTGAAAATAAGACCTTCATAGATGAAATCAAGTTAAGAGGTGATCATAATGGATTAGTGTGAACTCTAAATCTCACCAGTAGTTTCTAAATAAGAGAAAGGAGACATGAGGAAGATGGTCACATGGCAATGGAGGCACAGATTGGAATGATACAGCTGAGCCAAGGAATGTCAAGGATTGCCAGCCAACAGGAGCTAGAAAGAGGCAAAGGATTTTTTCCTAGCCTTTGGAGAGAGAATGGCCTTGAGAACACCTTGATTTCAGACGTATAGCCTCAAGAATTGTGACAGAATAAATTCTTGCTGTTTTACACCACCCAGTTTGCAGTAATTGTTAACTGCAGATGTAGGAAACTAATATACCTGCTTAACACTCCAGCCTCAATTTCAAGTCAGAGACCATTTTGAGTTTGAAATTTAATCCCCTTCAATTTTTGTTCCCCAAATATGTGACGATTCTATCTTGTACAATCCTATCTCTACATCTTTTGGCAACAGAGCCCTCTTAGAATGAAGGGCCCTTGTAGAATGCTCACAACTAGTCCACAAAGAGGAGAAGGTTCATGTCAGGAGAAAAATCATTTTATATAGATTATACATCCATCTACTACAATATAGTAGTGGCACAATTTCTAATAATGTCCCATAGTAACGCAGACTTTCTAAAAATAACACAGACTTTCTAAAAGCCATTGCCTTTTATGTGTTTGAACCCTCTGAATTCTAGGTGTTTGTACAGCCTCAGGAGCTAAATAGCTTGGACACATATTGTTAGGCAGCCCCAAGTTCACCACAGAGGCTCACTCAATACCCAGTAAAATGGATCTCTCTCTCTTCTCTTTCTCTCTCTCTCTCTCTCTCTCTCTCTCTCTCTCTCTCTCTGCCAAACCTCCGCCAAGAAGGTTCTTATAACCTCATAAGGAAGGGGAAATAGGAAGTAGACCTGAAAGGAGAGCAACCATGCTATGGGCGATCTGGGTATCATAGCAACACCGCCTAGTTACTACCTATTCCTGATGTTTCCAAATTACATTCACATTTGACCTCATTACGCTCTAAAATATCTACTTTGGCTCAAAACTTATTTGGGGAGCTAACCCACCCCGTGGTATCCACAGACTGTGCCTGCCTGGCACAATGTCCGTGGAATAAAGAAGTTCAAATGCCAATGAATGGTCATCACTGGGAGTACTAGTAGCAGATTCTCCAGAAATAAACGAAAACTCACCTCCGCCAGATGAAGATTTCTTTCTTTCTGAGTTGTAAATCTAGATCAGTCGCTCCCTTAGCTATAATTCTCTCCAAGCAATTATAAAGGCCTGAAAGTGCTCTGCAAATGAAAGTTCTGAACAACTGACCTATAACCAAGATATCACCCAAGTCCCAGCAGATGTACATACTTCACTGGGCAGAAGTCAGTTATGATATCGAAATTCCGGCTTAATCTGTAAAGAGATCTGAGTATAACTGAGACACAGTTAAATGGAATATACACATGAGACTTATTTTTATATGCTGGCATGCTTGGATCCCTGCCGAACCCTCTTCCCCTCCAGCTGCCGGGGCCTGCCCTTAGGGGCTCTGGGCGGCCCAACCCTAAGAGCCCAACAACCACCGCCTCCGCATCGCCCGCTTCCCTACACAATCCGGCCCCGCAGGCGCTTCCTGGGGGCGTCCTCACCCGCTGCAGCCCTAAGAGTTTCGGGAGCGCCAGGCCGGGAAGCCGGAGCCGCTGGGGGGGGGGGACCCCAGCATCCAAGGCCGCCTAGGGAGCGCCCTCGCCCAGCCCCGAAGCGGCCGGGGGGCGGGAGCGAGCTGGGCTACAAGGCCGGTCTGGGGGCGATAGGCGCCCCCACAAGTGCGGGCTTCCCCCACCCCCGGCGGCGACCCCACCTCCCGCCCCCGCAGCGTGCGCGCTTGTGTCCGTCTGTCTGTCTTCTATCTCGACGTCAGTGGGAATTTCCAGCCAGGAAGTGAGAGAGTGAGCGAGAGAGAAAGAGAGAGAAGTACACCAGCGAGCCGGGGCAGGAAGAGGAGGTTTCGCCACCGGAGCGGCCCGGCGACGCGCTGACAGTTTCCCCTGCCCTTCCCGTCGGTCCGGCCTCCCGCCGCCGCCGCCCTCGGCCTGTACGCCGCCGCCGGCCGGGCTCCGAGAGCCCCGCGCAGCCCAGGCCGGAGACCCCGCGGCCAGGAAGGCGGCACCGCCGCCGCCCGGCCACCGCGCGCCCTGCGCTTCCCTCCGCCCGCGCCGCGGACATGGCGCGGCGCTGAGTGGCCCGGCCCGACCCGGCCCGGCAAGATCGCGCGCCCGTTCTCCAGACCCGACCCGACCCGACCCGCACCGGGCCTCTTCAGGCTCCGGCTGGCCGCTGCTCTTCCTTCCCCAACCCGCTGGCCCGCGCCGCCGCGGAAGGGGAGTCCACAGGCGCAGGGAGGCCGAGCGCGGACCCGCCACCAGGGTAAGCCAAACTCGGGCAAGTGGGGGCCACTCTGGGGACGTGTGGCCGGAGTCCCGCTGCCCACCCGCCCCGCGCCCCCTCCAGCAGCACTTGGACTTCCTCATTCCAGCGCTAACCTCTGGGCTAGACCATGGGACAGGGTTGACAGTAGTTCAGAGACACATGGGTTTGGCGACAAGGGGGAAAAGGCACATCCGGACTTCGTAGGGGTTGGTCGGCCGAAGGGCCGCGGCCTCGCGGGCCGGCATTTCTGTTTAGGTCTCCACCGGCGGGAACAAGAGCCGGAGGGCACCTCTTGCAAACTTTTTTTTTTTTTTTTTTAAATCCCTACCTCCAGCCCTTGCTGCGGGGTGGCGAGAAGGCTGAGGTGCGCTGCGGTGCGGAGGAGAGAGGGGAAGGTGGTTGGTGCAGTGCAGAGCCAGATTTCACCTAAGGGCGTTCCATGAAATGAAAGCAGAAGTGCTTGTCAGTCCTCTTGGCTAGGAAAGCCCTTCCCAGCTCCCCAAAATTGAACAGGAGATCCTATTCCTTCCTTTCCTACTTCTAAAAGAAGCCCCTACTTCTCTCTCCCTCTTACACATACACACACACGCACACGCACACGCACACACGCGGCATAAAGTGTTCACCTGCTAGAGGACCTGCATGATGATTTTCAAAAAATAAGGACTTGATACTTAACCTTCAAAGTCTGGCATTTGAGAAAGAAAAGAAATTACCTCCTTAAAGCACTGTTTAGATACTTGATTATGTAAAACTCTTGGACAGTGGCACCCTGCATTGTGCATGACCTCTGAAAAATAATGATATAAACAAAGCATATCCTAAGTAGGTTTTCGAGTGGTATTTCAAAATAGACACCGATGGAGATGTTGGCCCTGGTTTATTGGTCTATTCTGTACCTTAGATGGGACTTAATGATACAGGATTCAATCATCAAGATTTAAGACATTTTTATGGACTTTGTTAAGTAGAGCTTAACTTTGCTCCTTATGAAATAACCATATTTATCTCTTAGATTTTTGTTATAAAGCTCATAACTAAGTAATGGCTGTGATATTACTAAAACATTTAAAAGCTGTGTTATCAACAGACTCTTGTACTAACTGATGATCTTTAGTAAATACTAAAACTTGGGATCAAGATGCTCAATTAGTTTTCTAGCAGAATTCCTCAACTGAATATTCTTGTGTAATCATATTTATTAAAACTTTATAGGGGAAACTTGATTAAAATAACGCCTTTAATGTAAGTAAGTTGTTTTTCTGATTTTAACTTTGTGCTTTCTAGAGATGAATTCTTTTAATGTTTGATGCCTTAAAAACTTATGTAAACTTAAAGTACTTTTTTGAGCTTATAAACTTGGAAAGACAGGAAATACAGAGCTTTGTTTCCTATAGCATTTTACATTTATCATTTAATTGAAGTGCTAAAATAAAAAGAACATATATAATGGATGGAAACATGAAATCTGTTGAAACTGTTCATCCATATCCATATACCCCAAATTCCTAAATGTTCTCCCTCACTTGTTTAGATAAAATGTCTTCCTAGGTTGCAGACTACTAAACAAACCTGAACATGAAGGAGGACTCATATATAGATTTAATGCTGGAACTAAAATACTATTTGCTGGGAGAGGTAAACCACTTCTGAACTGTTTGAAAGACTTTTTAAGCAAAATAGTGTCTTCCTATTGAAGGTTGGTGGCAATTTGACAACCTGTTATCCTTAATTTGAATTTTCAGTTTTATCTTATGTTCTGCAGTTGGCAATCTTTGAGCTGAATAAATGCCCCTGTTTTTCAAACTTAGTAAATACTGGAGTATACATACAGAGATAGTCATTCTCCTTTGTAAATACTGCTTTGATCTTTGCACTTCCTTTTTTACTTGTACCTCTTAAACAAGATCATCTTTGATGACTGAGTTGCATTTGGTTAAAGCTCAATTTGTCTGAACTAGGCAGAATTTTAGATTTAGTAATCATATTCTTTACATTTTTCTTGTCATTGTTTCTTGAAACACATTGAAGTCAGTTTTAGAAACCTAAGTTTGTGCAGGCTGTTTTTACTACCCTTTTAGAGTTCCAAATAACTAATTAAGTAAGTTACTACCTTGACTTTCAGAGATTGCTTATTGTGGTAGGTAGGAGGTCTAGATAAGGAATTGGCAGCAGCATGGATCTTGGGCTACCATTCAATCAGCAAGCCCATATTTTTACCTAATTTATGAGAGAGGTATTCCCCTGTTCAGCAGAGGTGAAAGTTCTGGCTTCTAGGGGAAGTGGTTACTTCATAACCTTCAATTAATTTGAACTCAGGCAAAGTAAGAAAAGTAGTTAACATTTTTAAACACTATGTTAAAATAATTATATTGAGTTGCTATAAGAATTTTTTTGTTATGGTTGCTATTGCTTTGCAGTGTTTGGAGATCAAACCCAACACATGTTCTACCTCCAGCTATGTACTGCAACTTTGCCATTTGCATTTTTTATAAAGTATTCAAAATATTATATTTTTTCTCTTCAGAATTTATTAGTAGATCTTTTGTTTTGAGCCTAGAGATGCCTGCAATACGAAGTATACCTGGAATGCAGATAGGTCACAAATAGAGTAAATACTCACATTATACTCTTCTAGTTTACAGACTGAACAGGAGTCCCTGGAGCAGCAATGGATGTATATGAATCAATGGCTTTGCAAAATGTCTCACTAATTTGTTGTGTTTTTAGTGGGAAGATTGTGTTGTTTGGTTGGCTTATTGACTTTCTGTTTATACTATGAATTACATAAGGTTATGTTAGAAGAAGCAGGAGAAAAAAAGAATAGAATTTCAGTACTGGAGGACACTTCAAGGTAGATGTCTGCTACTGCATTTACATTTATTTCGGATCAGGGTTAACTGACAAATGTCTTTTGGTAACCAGTAAACCACTTGGAACAATTTATCCTGTTTTCTGGGAATTAATTATGATTTGTGCTGTGCATCTCTTGTAAGTGCTCAGCTTAATTGTGGCGTTTCTATAGAGGTAAGCAGGTAAATCATTAGGAGCATTTATATTAGGAGATTTGAGGTTTTAAACAACTAGAGGCTCTTATTCAGCCTCAGGAATGTTTGGATGTTGTAGCACAGTCCTGCAAATGAGTTTGGTCCTTGAATATGCATGTGTATGTGTATATGTTTGGGTGTGTGTGTGTAAGTGATATTTCCACAGACTTAATAGTTAAGGCAACATAAACATGTCTTTGTACTGTTTCTTAAATGAGTGTACAATGCCTTACTTTTAAATAAAGAGAGAAAAAGGAGAAAGTAGTAATATGTTCATAAGGATGAAATTGCTTCATATCTTTGGTCTCTGCTGTTTTAGAGGGTGTTCCTGGTGCGAATTAATAAACTATATTTTAGGTAGATCTGGCCTTGAAGATCAACCAATTGCTTAGAAAATAAATTGTGAAACAAAATTGTATTGTTTTACCACAAAGAATTTAAAAAAAAGAATATAAGATGTAATTTGTTAAAGATTGTAGAAACCATCAGAGTAGAGAATATGGATGAAAATATTAGTTTAATTTAGAGAATTAATCATAACTCTTGTATTTTAAAATTTAAAAAGAAATCCATTATTTTTTAGTCCTTATGTCTTGTATAGTAATAAGTGCAGATTTATCAGTAATACAAGTTTCATCTGCCTTAATTCATTGCCTGTTTTTGAAATTGAAATAATGATATTTGTGTTTTAATTATCCATTATAAATTGGCTTATTATTTTTCATTTCTCTTTCACCTTTAGACCAAAAACCTTATCATTAGGGTCTTATTCTGATCCATGCTGTCAACACATATCAGCAGTTTTAAACTATCTGTAGATGCTATTTCTTGAAACTGTGAAAAAGTATTAAACTTTAAAGAAGAATGTAAATATTTTAGATGACTTATTCTTTTGAAGAACCTAAATTATTTTAAAAAGAAAAACAAAGAGCTATTTGAAAAATCAAATTCTATAGTTCTAGCTAAAAAGAAGCAATATCTAATTTAGATTGAAAAGAAATACTTAGCATTGTGCTTGTTGGCGCATAGTGAGCAATAACTGTTGAATGAATGCATGCATTTAAGTTGTTTTTATTTCACTTTTTAAAATGGGCATCCTTTTGTGTATGGAAAAAAATTACAGTTGTCTTGCCTTCTGGTAAGAAAGAAGCCAAAACATACTTATTGCCTCCTAGATATTATATTATCTAAAGTGTACTTGAAGATTAGTAGGACAAGTAAATTATTTAAAAGTACCCAGTATCTTCCCAAAGGAAGCATTTCATTTTGAAATAGAAGTTTATGAACTGGAAAGGGTTTTGTAGTTTCAAAGTTTTAGAGGCACTTGTCAAGCAAGGCAGTAAAGTAATTGAAATGATAAATGGTGCATGTACAAGAGAAAAAAAAATGTTATTTTTTGGCAAAGTTAGAATTTCTCTAAACTCCATTGAAAATGCAGTTTCAATATGAGCATCTCCAAAAAAGGAAACAATGCTGTAAATACTGCTTTCTAATCTAAGGATTATTAACACTTAGGTAAATTCATCGACCAAAAAATACAAACAAAATGTGTTATGACCTCCAGAATTAAATATTTGCCATCCATAAATCTGCGACTTTTGGAATTTCTAGATGGGAAACCTTAGAAACAAATGGGCAGTTAGCAGGGTTTACAGTACTTTCCACTTTCATAGCTTAATGGTTTTGCAACACTATAAAATCCTGGCCTCTTTATGGTGAGGTTTGTACATTACTTCTCAGTTGAAATTTTTTCAAAAAATTGACCTTGAAACCCTGTATCTGACCATTTAATCTTTGTGGACACAATTTGTAAACGAAATATACCATTCAGACTAAAAAAGAACAAAATGACAACACTCCCATCCTTGTGTTGTGCCCTGGGAGAGCCCTAAGACAATCTTTGAGGAAGACAGAGCCATTGAACACTGCTCACTGAGCTTTCCTGCCCACCTAATTCTTGTTCTGACCCTGACCTCTCTTTGCATCCCTCACAAACACATTCAAGTTTTTAAAATTAGTTATACAAATCAGTGTATACATATGTGTATATTAAATCTTTTTTGTTGCCAACAAATTAAATGTCTACATATATAACAAGTACATTGTTAACCTGTCATTACTGAAAAATACTCTGAACTTGAATAGCTGTATTGTTTGTTACTTAGAGTAATAAAATAATCCAAGCACTTGCTTCTACTTCCCCATGGGATGGCTATCAGAGAATGATAAATTTTTCTATGTTCCATTACATGATCAATTCAGCTTCTGGGCATAAACAAAGCAAACAAATCTATAACTCTGTCATAATCTTTACAGTGCTATTCAAAAGTGTATGGACAATTCATACATTTCATGGTAGACTTAATAAAGCCATTGAGCTTTTTTTTGATGGGAATATTTTGATAAATGAGGCTCACTGAAGTTTCTAGGATAGATTTACTCTTTGCTAACTTGAACTAAAGAAAGAACAAGACCTGCATAAATTAAGTACATTTCTAGAGAAAATATTGGAAC